AAGAAATTGTACAGCCGGCTACAGAAGCTATTGGAAATCTTAAAGCCGGCTTTAGGTCTATAGTATTTTGGAACACACATTCTATTGGCAATTTTTACCAGGGTTATAGATGTTGGACAGCCTGATGACCCTTATATAAACGTCAGATTGTTTGTTTCGAAAAGGAGGAAAAATGAACCGCTTAATCCGCGGTATGTGGATGATTTGCGGCCAACGCACAGTGGATCGCGTCATTAAGAGGGGTCGCACATTTGAAACTACGCGAGGTGAAATTTTTGACTAAAACTCAAAATTTTGATGTCTATTTCGTCATACTTTAAATTTCATGGGGTGATTATAGGAGAAAATTTCACGAAGAAAATAATGAAACCACTTTCAGAACCTCAAAGTTTTATAGAAACGGAGTTGTTAGCATTTAAAGTTTCAGAAATGTCCGACCTCACCTGTTAACTCGATCCACTATGCAACGTGCAAAACACGTCCAAAAACTGAAGAATTGAGGGAGACGAGAGGGAAAAGAAAAGTATGAAAATAGATGCAATATCTCCTTCCCATTTTGTTACGTCGGCAATTTTAAAATAACAAGACGCATTTTCGAGTTTACAATTTAAAAGAGGAGAAAAATATGACGTTGCCCTCCCCTCCCCTCCCCCTATGCACCCACCATCCACCATGCTGGTGCTGCTGCAGCACTCTTGCCTCCCCATCTTCATTCTGTGACGTACATTATGCATGGATTATATTATGATTTTATTATAGCAACGTAAAAAAGAAGAAGAAGAAGAAGAAAAAAGAGTTGAGCTCAATATTGTGCTGTCTTGGGTGGTATTAGAGGACCATGTAGAGGTCAAAGACATGGCAGAAACGTATGAATCGGCAGATGTTAAAACGTATCACGTATAACGGACTCCTTCAAGAGCCCTGCTATGTGAGCGCTGAGCTGAAGTTTGAACGTCACCAGAAAATAAACTTGTCTGGTTTATACATCGACAGATTCCTACTTGCCGCGAAGCGATAAAAAAAGTATCTCAAGTAAGTATGGCGCTTCTATTTAGCTGGCAGGTATTTTATTATTTTTCAAAGAAAACCTTCTAGACGTTCCACACGAAAATTTCAGAGAATATTCTTGAAAGAGCAAAGAAAAATGTCGGGAAACGTGCAATGACGAGGGTTTATTTAGTCCTCCATCGAAGAGAAGAAGTGACAGAAAAATTGCGATGTCGTAAATCGCGAACGGAGTTTTCTGGTCTCGCCATCAATAAATACATGACTAAAGTGCAAAACCATGTATCTCCGTTTGCAACGTTGCTAAAATTCTGTCATACTTTATTTTTTTTGTTGAAAAATAGTTACCTAAGTAATGTAATTTCTTAAAAGCTTCCTTAATTTTTCTTCTATATTAGCAGAATATTCTGAAAGAGTTTCAAACTATAGGTAAAGGGTTGTTCCTTCTCGAAAGAAGGGATATTTTACTATAATCGGCCATAAAATTAAATAAATAAATTTTCCGTTCGGCTTAAGTACTGAAGTTCGTGTTTTTTCTAAAGGACTTCGGTTGTCTGCGCCAAAGTTCGGCTTGCGCGACCGAAAACTTCAATGTGCCATGAGAACCAAAGTTCAGTTCTGGAACCGAAATTTCCACGCGTCAAACTTCAAAGCTCTTCGAGAACTTGCAGCTATTTGCATTGGGCTGCATATTGGGCCCCAAAAAATTCTGTGACGTTCTATGAGACTTTCCTCGAAAAGAAGGAGTATGATAAAATATATCGTCACCTTCCAGGCAAAGTATCACAAGCGCCATGCGACGTTTAAAAATTTCCGCCGCCATTTTATTTCTTTACTGAGAAATTGTTGGTTGAATCTGTTTGGAAATTTCACTAAATTTTATCGGCAGCACAAAGAAAATTCAGCGAAATTTTCGGACAGCTTCGTTGAAAAATTTCTCTGTAAAAAAATAAAAAAGCGGCGGAAATTTTTAAACGTCGCATGGCGCTTGTGATACTTTGCCTGGAAGGTGACGATATTGCGTCTGCCCGAATGAATGAAGAGCCTCTATTTTCTTTGAATTCTCGCTCGAAATGGCAACACACGATAACCTTAAGCGCGTTTGGGCGAATTTTTTGTGCTCATTCCACCCAGAAACTGGAGACTGTCCCGCTACTTATCAAAAGGGAAGCGAGTTTGATATTGCTCTCGTGTCATTGATAACTACTACAATGACCTGATCGGGCGGCTTATTGAATTGCTTTAATCTCTCACTTCTCAGCCTATCGTGACAAAACGTGCGCACCGCGGAGAGAGGCGAACACTTGAGTGGTTGTTGTCAAAATTCCGACATAGACACGGGTGAAAATATCAGGATTTTCTCGGGGCACTCCTTCGGCGACCCCCCCCCCCNGCCCCCCGGTTCCCTGCCTCTCGTATTACGAATGTTGCCCTGAGACAGTGACATCTCTCTTCGTAAAACTCTTTCGTCTACGCAAGGAAACTTCCAGTCTCCCTAATAGCAAGTCGGTTTTTCAAGTGTATTTCATACTTAATTGGATTCCAATATGAGCATTCAGTCAAAAGAACTTTAAGAGTTCTTCCCGTTTGAAAAAATCTCCATCCTTCATAGGAATACAGATAAAACTGGACTTCCCACTGAATCAAAAGAACCAAATTCTCAAATATAAAATAATAGTTTTATAAATAAATTTTAAAAAATGAAATTTTGTTTTTGAAAGAACTTAACTAAGTATTTCATAGCCCATGGAGGCAGACGAAATATTCAAAATGGGTAGCAAAAAATATGGGAATGATTATTTTTGCTATTACTGGGCAATTTTGACAGGATGACAAAAAATCCAATTGTAAATTTTCAGCAATGTAAATGTGATAGTCAGGTTGATACAGGGGGGCCATTTCACTGAGCCTTGGGAAGGGGGGGGGAAGTTGTTGAAAGG